GCTCGGACCACACGAACTTTGATCTAAGCTGCCCTTGATATGGAAAGATAGAGGAAAAGATACAGTAGTGAGTGAAGGAAAAATGAAATGTATATGAGAGGCTGATAGTCAAGTTGTGAAGGAAAAATGTATTTATAAGCATAAAGTCTGCAGTGATGTGAAATAGGGTTTCTGATTTTGCCATGGGCCGAAATTGGGCATTTGGGAATAAATGATATTTTAATTTTAATTTCAGTGTATTGGATAAGTTAGCCCAACATTTATCAGTAAAGCCCAGCAGGTTGCTACAGTGTTTTGGCGGGAACACTGTAGCCAGCTCTTTTTGCTTTGTATATAGTAAGATTTACTACTCTTATACGGAGTATTTTGTGTTTGATCCTTTGTTTATTGGATTGTCTCATTTGAGACCTTTAAGTGTGAACGTAAATGTTAAAATCATGAACAAAAAGTCACAAAATTCACATACTTGTTATTTATAAATTTAAATTTTGTTATTGTTATATCCACTGTACTCCAATTTTGGTTAAGAGCACGATTCTGTTGACATTCGACAACGGTGACACAAACGGTGCCACTGCGTTTCTGAAGAACTTCGATGCTCCAATTAAAAAAATTGATGATTCCTACTTCGCTAACCCACCCTCTAAACCCCCACCCTAGTCCTAGCCCTAACCCTCCAAATGTGTGGCTATTAATCTTATTATGCCACTCATTTAAAGGCCAGGGAGACTTAGGGCGGGGCTGAGGTGAGGGGTTGGGATGGGGCTAGGGTGGGGAGGGGGCTTTAGGCGGTGGGTTAGGGGGGGAGGGGTAGGAACCATCAATTTTTCGATTGGAGAATTGGAGGTGCTCTAAAAACACAGTGGCACCGCTAGCGTCACCATTGGCGTGTGTCAATGGAACCCCACTCTTTGGCTAAACCATTCTTTTAATGTTAAATGTATAAATTTGTCCTAAAAAATCTGGTTGCAAAAATGGGGGTGGATATAACAAGTACCCTTTAAATTTTCATTTTCTTTACAACAATATGGGTACGAATTTCACAAACTTACCATTTGTGTACTTTTCAAGGTGAATAAAATATTTTTAAGTAATTAAAAAATAAAAATTTAAATACACAAATGACAAATTTGTGTAGTTTGTGTCCATGTTGTTGGTGACTCTAGCATTACTCTTATTTATATGAGATCATTACTTTATGCTTTAGTAGGGTTCAAAAATAAAAAAAAAAATTGCTGGCAAGTACCTTCTGTTTTGTGGTAATAATTCTCAGGTCCCATACTACCTGAAATGTATGCTTCGAGATACACTTGATTTTTTAATGAGAATTTTCAGATCCCACATTATTTAAAATATATTTTAGAATATTTAAAATTTATGATATTATACTCATGGTACATTTTCTCAATTTAGGCGTTAGAATAAAAGTTCTTCAACTTTGAAAAATTGAAATTTTTTATTTAAATTTAATAAAACAATAAATATCAATATACTCCGTAAAATTTAGTAATTGTCAAAACAACAAAACTTCAATCATAACAGTCAAATAGACAAAATGTACCCTCGAAGTACACTACCAAAAGTTTTAAGAACCTCTGGAGTATATTTTAGATGATATAGGACCTCTTACTAGAAAATCAAGGTACCCCAAATTATTTTTAAGATAATGATGACTTGGATGTTATTACCAAAAAATCAATGATACTCTGTATTATTTTCTATAATTTTTTAGTTACTCCGTATTTGTTACTCAGTAGTCAGTAATATAAAACAGATTTATCACATCTTGTGTTTGGAAACATTCGAACAAAACTTTGAAAATTTATTTTCAAATTTTATACAAATACTCCAACAAATAAAAAACATCATCCATAAAACAAAATGAGAAGCTTAAATAAGGACAAAAATATAGAATTAAGTGTATGAGGTAAACCGAACTTCGCCAATAGGCCAAATTTTTAATTTTGGCTCAAAGGCTCAAAATTGTACAAACTGAAACACTAAGTCCTAGGTTACATGTATAGACCACCTTTTTTTTTGCTAATTAATACAACGATTAATGGGTAGGGTTTTCAACAAAATGTAGATGAGGAAAGCAGTGTTACATACATACATCATTTCAAAACAAGAAAAACCATGTTTAAAGAGAGGGGGATAGCAGGAATTGTTAATCATGGATACAATCATAAACAGAGAAATCATCATAAAGCAAAGTTCCATCCTGATAATGGAGCATGTAATAGCAAAGATCACAGAAATAACAAGGATTCGGAGCAGCCCATTTATCGTCGACCGTCATCTTCTCAGCTTTGAATATTTTGCACACAGAACATTTCTGAAGCCTCACTTTTAATCGAAATGTGACGAGCGGATAAACAGCTTGGTTCTGCACGTCCTCAGGGTGTATCAGCCTCATATCTCTTATTACCATGAGATGTTTGCAGTCTCCCTTTACAAGACAAAAACCAGTTCCACATTATTAATGCTGCTTATTTAGTAGTAAAATAAGATGGTGAATTAAGGTAATAAAAAGAAGACTGGTCAATAATGTGCACCAAACTAAAATGCCTCTTAACCAATTTTGATTGTTTATTGTACCTGGTGACAGTAAAGATACCCAGCACCAACTCGAAATTTCAAGTCACAAAAGCGAACATTTTTCATCTCAACAGCTCTGAAATGAGGCAGTGGGAATGCCGCAACATTTCCTAAAATTGATTTCTTCTTCTGCAGCGATTCACCTGAGATGATACATTCCCATTTTTCGGCAGCCTCTGATGAATTTTCAACCCATTCTCGTATTGGCTGACTGTAATCAGTAGCACGTGCATCCCTCAAATCATTGTAAAACACATCCTGCGAAAATCATTGCAGGTTAAAGCAAACAACAAAATTGTAATTGTGCATTCATCAGGCCAGCTGAAAAAGATGAGAAACAAGTTTATTAATCATTCATCTACCTCAATAAGAAAGTAGCCAGAGGGATCATCTGTGCCTGCCTTTTTCATTATTTCATCCGTGATGCAATATATCTTGTCCCTCAATTCAGTTAAAAATTGCTGCCCTAGAACCAGAAATTCTTGACTCTACAAATGAATTAGATAGATGATAAGCTCACTTAGGCATATAAATGCAGTTCTTTTCAGTTCCATGTGTATTGCACGTAGAAAAATATTGTGGTTCATTAGAAGGAAAATTACCTACATATGAGAATGGTAAGAAAATACTTACAGTTGAGATGAGCATTTTTATTTTTTTATTAAAATAAAACACATATTTATGTGATGTCTACACAATTTTTGTAGACCTTAGGTGCACCATAAAAGCACTCTTCTTAGAATCTGTTTTTGCCAGTTCACATAGCTTATCATTATAAGTTATGGGGAATGTTTTTCAAAAGTCAATCAAGATGACCAAATAAACTTTATCTTAGTCAATGTTACTCAGTGGCAAGACAACTATTCACCTCAAGATAACACACTTGGTTTCCAAATCCAAGATCACCAAATAAAGTTCATCTTCTTCTAAAAGACATTTGCATACAAGTTTCAAAATTAAGGATTCCCTGGGACTAAGAGGGAATCTAACAATATATAAAGCGAAAATGTTTTTTGCTACAGCACTCCCGCCCAAAAATTTCACTAGAGTTCCGTATGTGAGCGCATGAGGCACACTATGCTGCTCATCAGATCTTTTGCCTGAAAAGTAGAGAGAGAACGCCTAAACCTATGAAGCACAGGTGCGGGTGCGTCGATCAATGCGGGTGCGAGACTGGTGCGGGGTGCAGAAATTTTTTAAAAAATAGGGTGCGGGTGCGGCAATGAGTGCGGGGAATTTCTTTATATAATTTTTTATTTAAACTAATATTTCTTTGTAAAATACATGCATTTATGTTCAAAATATTCTCAAAAGAGAACAATTATCTTAATTTTAAATAAACAAAACACATCACATCCAAAATTTGGCCCAAACAGGCCCATATGAGGAAACCCTAGGCTTAGTATTTATTATCCTAACTCCAGCCTTCTTTTTCTTCCTGATTCTCGGCCGCCTCCTCACAGTAAACACTTCTTTTTCTTCGATTCACTGTCCGCAATCATGATTGGCGACGACGACTCCAATCGGAGGGCCTGAATTCCAGCGGCGACCCCTCCGGTGACGACGGTGACTCCTCTTGTGATTTCCGTATCAAATATCAACATCTGAGGGCCTGAACTCTAGCAGATTCACTCTTTCTTCTCTCTCGGCGATGCAGCAGTGGCCAGTGTGTAGCAAATTCAAGGCGCTGCCAGTGCACCGAACGCGCACCCAGGCAGACCGCCGCACCAGAACCTGCATGGTGCTTCGTGCGCGTGTATTTTGCTGCACCAGTGCTTCATAGGCCTAAACGCATCAGTAAAAGACAACCACTTAAATCATCTCCATCAATGATGCATGCCTTGGCCAATTACTATTTTACCTCACTCTATTTTTTAACCCTACGTTGTTATTTTACTTAGTGTGTGTGAGTTGTTGTGACTGTGCGTGTAGAGGTGTGCCTATATAAGGCTGGAACTCTATTGAGTCAGTAAGAAGAATATCAGATACCTTTTATACATCTCTCTCTTCTCCGTCATCTCTGTTATTGAGCCTTGGAGCTCTCTTCTTCAATGTGAAAAGTTCCCAAGCCCGTAACATTGATATCAGAGCAGCTCGTTCTAGGGAGGGACTGTAGATCGCAAAGCAAAGCAGTTCTGATAGCGCGAGAAGGAAGACGATTGCAAGGATGGCATCAATCGAAAAAATTTTGAAGGCACTGATGGAACAACAAAAGGGGATTGCGATTAAGATGGAGCAACAGAACTGGAAGCTTAACATACAACAAAATTTGTTTGGTCAGATGATTAAACAGATAGAAGCGAGAGTCCAGAGAAGAGCCCCTGATTCGGAAATTGAACAGATGAAGACAATAGTGAATCAAGGATCGTTTGCATCTATGGAGAACGATCAGGAATACAGAGATGGAGGTAAATGCGGACAACCTAATTTCAATTCCAAGTTGATTCAAGAATTTTCCCAATTTGAAGGAAATAATGCAGAATTTGGATTAAGAAGAGTATTAAATACTTTGAGCTGTGTCAAATTTTGGATGAGATCATGAGAAGTGAATTTGGCTTCAGTACATATGATTGGGAACACTGGAGTCTGGTTTAATAGCTATGCTATAGGCAGACCCAACATCATTTCGGAAGAGTGGGAAGACTTTGAGGTAGACCTGTGTGATAAATTCAGCACAGAGCATGAATCGAAAATTATTAAGGAATTTGACAAGGTTCGAGAGCCAGGAAGTTTGGAGGATTACATTGCTAGGGTTGAGAAACTGAGTGCCTATTCTTGGAGGAAGACTCTAGTACTTCAGCTGATTCCCTGGACATTTCCATAGGAGAACTTAAACCACATCTGAGGACAGTTGTGAAGACCTCCAAGCCAGACACCTTATCAAAAGCTATTACAGGCTCTAGGAGTTGGGAAGAAAATGTTGTCCAGGCAATAGAAGAATGATGGTTAAGCCTCTATTCAACATCAACAAGGCTTCACATCGTTTAAATCTGTCTTTGCTTTCGTCAATTAAATCTTTCAGTTCAGTTCCAGAAGTGCACAGAGGTTCATACCGGCTATGATTGAGTCAGTACGAAGAATATCAGATATCTTTTACACATCTCTCTCTTCTCTGTTATCTTGTTCTCTTTCTCTTTCTTTTCTGCTATTAACCCTCAGAGCTCTCTTCTCCGTTGTGAAAAGTTCCCATTCCCATAACAATCAATCATCCCATATGGAAAGTGGAGAGAGACGGTCAGAAACTCCTCTGCCTAAATCAATCACCCATTCATTCATTTTGACACAGGATAAGAAATTAGATGCGCTGCCTAAAACTTCGACCCTAGGTTTGGCCATGGAAGGTTGACTTATGGGCGACGAAACAACCACAATGGCCATGGATTCGGTTAGGATGGACATAGTTGTTGGCTTCATTTATCGGTTCACAGACTCTCTGCCCTAAGTGATTCATTTAAGGGAGCCAGATTTCGTCTTTATCTTTTTTAGCATCAATCGATGGATAGGGTTTCAAATTCCATGGGTGAAAATCAAATGTTTATCTAACTAAACATTACTAGAACATCAATTATTATGAAAGATCTTGTGGTCGAGGTTCGAAACCCATAGAACTGCAGCCCGCCCAAATGGGAGGTCACAGGTTTGAACCCCAAGGGGGCGTTGATTCTCTCTACTTTAGATTGATAAAGTATGTATGAATATACACTACAATGTAATAGAGTCAGTAGTACTCAAAAAAAAAATTCAATTATTGATAAAAATTAATATTATTAAATGTCCCCTTAGGAATTGGTACTTTCAGGAACAGAAGTGTTGTTCGACCACATGTTACCTTCATTAATGGCTTTCTGCTGCGGTAAACCTCCACGCATAAAACAACTTCTGGGAATTGAACTGGCACATGTTCACTTGAACTTGATGACTTCATGTGGCATACCTTTAATGTCACATGAAACATTAGAAAAGCTGTAATGTAGAAATAAATTAAATAGTAGTGGAATGGGCCTAAAAGATTGATCATCCCTTGTATCTCACTGTTGTGACATGGAATGAGAAATCAAGAGTTCAATACCAGAAACACAAAGGTTAAAGGATTTTCGAAACAAACCTTTCTAGATGAGCTTACGGACTTCAGTGATGTTAACCTATCACTTATCTCTAATTGTTTTGGTGTAGAGTCAATCCCGCAACTGCCACTGAAACACACAATACAAACCAGAAGTAAACAATTATCAATTATGGTATTGTGCATTCTCTTGCCCAGAGACACTTCAACCACTGAGTAATAGCACATCAACTTCAACTCAAAAGATACTCACTTGAACGAATGCAATCTCACTGCTGCTTTATCTTCGACTTGTTTATGCTTAATTCGTGCAATTTCTTCCACCTTAGCAACATAACTTTCCTATATATGCAAGAGTATGTTGCAATCACATGAATGATCACAATTTAACCCCAAAATGAATAAGCAAAAAAGAAATAACATATAGACAATCAGATAACAAGGGAGTGCAGCAAGTCAAGTCCCTACCCAGTGTTTATTCCTTTTCTTCTCTTTCTCTTAGCTTGACCGCCATTTCACCATTCATGTAGCGAAATGTGAGGGAATTCCCACATCTGTGTGTGTATGTCATACTGAAGATATGGTTGAATGTGTAACTAGTTTGATGCTAGCTATGATGGAAGTGTGGGCAGTGATAGTTATGAAAGGCACAAGGCGGGCGAGTCGTAGATTTTCAAGGCCAGAGGCGGACAGCCAAATGGCAAACAAGCCTTTTTGAGACACATATACTAGACACTCCAAATAGGAATAAATATAATAGCGAATTCTTACTCCAATAAATATCCTAATAATTATAACAAACAAAAGAACCATGGAAATACTGTACTATACAAACAAAAATCAAATTGACAACCAGTTAGGAAGCAACTGGGTTTTTTAAGAATAAAAAACCAAACTGAGAAAATGTACCACTAACACTATGTTTGGTTCAAGGAAATAGGAAGGAAAAGAAAAGAAAACGGTTTTCCCTCAAATTCCTCACCAAAATGGGAGGAATTTGGTTTTCTCTCATCTTAGTACATTTTGCCATCTCATTTTCTTTTCCTTCCACTTTTCTTTTCTTTTCCTCTCTAGCCAAACAAGAAAAATGTTTTCCTTCACATTTTCTTTTCCTTTCCCTGTCAAATTCCTTAAACCAAACATAGTGTAAATAAACCAAGTGAGAAACGCACTAGAAAAAGAATGAAGAGACAAAAACTAAAACCTGCGATCCTGAGAAGTACAAAAAAGATGTTAGCACACAGTTGCCGAAGACTAAAGTTACTCTTCCCAGGAGTCGTGTGGTCACCCTTTAGAAGGTGCTTGATCCTTCTTTTCGAAGCCGCAATGCCTTGCTATGGTAGTATAAGGTAAGTCTATTTATGTTTTTAATTACTTAGCCCAGGTCCAACATATTTTTAAAAACAATGACTGGCCAACAACAATTTTACAGAAGACATGGAAGGCCAAAGCCTTGCGCCCGGAACTCAGCCAGAGAGACGAATGCCAGAAGTTGCCTCATGCATGTTGCCCGCCCTGCCCTGCTACAGGCAACCAAACTTATGAAGCAGTTGGCGGAAGAGTGCAGGAAAACTAAAAGGAGGCTAAACAGGAGACTTTATTGAGTCAAATGTCCATTCTAATGAATATGGAAAATTCATATATTTCATTCAAAAGTAAAACAACAGGTTTAATGGCAAGGCGCTCTATGTAATTAACCATAAAATTAGGAACCACGACCTAGTACAGTAGTACTCTAAAATGACGAATACTTGCTATGATATGAATATATAAAACTACATAACTAGTAAACATAAAGTGCAAACAACTAACTACAAAAAAAATACTTCTTACTCTGCTAGTCCCAGACATTTATCAGTATATATGTGGGAAGCGGCATGGGCGGATGGGGAGAATTCAGTAAATAGAAAGCTACTACTAAAGCATAGAAGAGAGCAAAAATTAAGTCATCTAAGTGCATACCTCAACGCAATTGTGCTTCCTCTTACTCGAATTTTTTTTCTTAGATTTTCCATTTTTGCAGGATCTAAGAGGTGGAATCGAATGTGACGATTCATGGGAAGTTGATATGTGTGCTTCTCTCTCATCATCCTGCCATTACGAGGGGTGAACTTATCAAGCTAGCCAAATACAAACATTACATTCTTAAAAATTTACATGTTGTAATATGAATAAATAAAACAACATAACAACTAAACATAGAGTGCAAACTATAAGGAAATTAATCCATTAGTCTCAGACTGACTCAGACATAAATCAGTATATGTGTGGGAAGCAGTGTGGGCAGATTATGACTAAAGTATAGAAGAAAGAAGAAATTAAGTCATTTTAGTGCATACTTCAACATTTTTGTGCTTCCTCTTACGGGAATCTTTTCCCTTTAATTTTCCATTCTTGCACGATCTAAGAGGAATCATATGCGACGATTCATGGGAAGATGATATGTGTGCTTCTCTCTCATTTGGTATTTCTACCTTGAATGCTTCTTCAAATGCCATGTTTACCAGATTTTCCTCGTTTTCAATTTTGAGTTCTTCTACCCTACAAGAATTGCACGGGCTCAATCCAAAGCCATGGACATGGGAGGAATAGACAGTGAACAAAAGGACGACTCTAACAAGTAACAACTTCTTTTCCAACACAAAAGCCCTAGATATAAATTGGGATTGGATGAAAAAAATTAAAAAAAAGGTAAAAGAAAAAAAAAACTTACGAGATCTCGTCATCATACATTTCGAGGGAGTCAAAGCAAACTTCTTCTCTAAGACTCTGCATCAAATATATGAAAATTCTTGAAACGTGGCATCATCAAAAGTATCAAAGGAAAAAATGAGACTTTGAAGTACACTTTACATACTATTCTGTAGAACCCTAAGGAAGCTGCATACCTTAAGCTCATTGAATGCAGAGAGTTCAAAATCTGAAACCTTCATGAGTGCACTAACCATGTCGGGAACATAAACTGGACCACCACGGGGGAATGATACACTACCATCATCTCCCCCATCATTGACATCCACAGATGCAGAAGCCATTAAAATCTAATTTCAAAAGCCTAAAACATAGACATAATTAGCAATGCTGAAGTTGGATAAGGGGCTAGTGGAAATTCTTGGGGGGGCTATTCCTCCCATGTCCATGGCTTTGGATTGAGCCGGTGCAGTTCTTGTAGGGTAGAAGAACTCGAAATTGAAAACAGGGAAAATCTGGTAAACATGACATTTGAAGAAGCATTCAAGGTAGAAATACCAAATTTGTAAGAATGTCACGTTTATATTCAAATTTTAGCTAGCTTGATAAGTTCACCACTTATAATGCGGGATGATGAGAGAGAAGCACACGTATCATCTTCCCATGAATCGTCGCATATGATTCCTATTAGAGTATTAGATCATTCAAGAATGGGAAATTAAAGGGAAAAGAAAGCACAACCACATTGAAGTATGCACTTAAATGACTTAAATTTGGATGATCTTTCCACTCTTCATTATATGTATTAGAAAAAGGGTCATATTTTCCTGGATTATTATTTAAAAAAACATTGCTTTTGCCTCAGGGGTTAAAAGAGATGGGCAATTATCAGTTGTGTGTCTCTCTAAACGGCAAACTCCACATGAAAGTTTTTTGACTCCCACTTGAGAACTCATGTACTGTCCAAACATTTTGGCCAAGTAATGAACAGTTTCTGCTAAGGTTTCATTACTCTCAGCCCCTTTTACCCCTTTAACATCAGATTCCCTATTTCCAAATTTTTGAGTGTTTTGAGTTATCAGATTAAAAAGAGCCCTAGATTGTTCAGAAGTTTTAGAAACCAGTGCCCCACACTAGCAGCATCTACTCTATTCTATCAGCAGTACTCAATCCTTCATAAAAGAATTAAATAAGGAGCTGTTCAGAAATTTGATGTTGTGGGCAACTAGAACACAGTTTAGTAAATCTTTTCCAATACTCAGAAAATGTTTCTCCTGATTGTTGTTGAATACGCCAATTTGCTTTCTTATTAACCCTATCCTAGAAGCAGGAAAAAAATCTTCTAAAAATGCCTTGTGTAGTGAGGCCCAAGTGGTAAAGGAACCTGGTGGCATGTAATATAACCAATCCTTTTCCTTGTCTAGCAAGGAAAACGGAAAGGCTCTCAGTTTAATAGCCTCCTGAGGAATACCCTCAGGTTCCATTGCCCCACATGTGAATAAAAACTCACTTATATGCCTATATGGGTCCTCACCAGGCAGTCCATGGTATTTAGGCAACATGTTGAGGAACCCTGAGTTCAGTTTAAGTGGTTTATCTAAAGCCTCATAAGTAATTGACATGGGGTGTGTGGTTAAGTCTGGTGCAGCCAACTCAATAAGGGTAGCCATTTTGAACATGTTGTGCACAGAAGTTAGTGTAAAATTAGATTCAACTAAAGCAACAGATTGAGACACAGATGTATTTTCAGATTCACAAAACACAGCAGATTCACTAGGACAATCACAGACTGTCTTTTCAGAGTAAACAAGAGAAGGTCCAGCTGTACTTACCCGGGTTATATTTCCAGTTTTCTTACCGGTATCAGCTCTCTGTATCAATTTTCCATTTCTTAAGAGCACAAAGTCTTAAGTAATGCTTGTATGTATACCTAAAAGACTTGAAGAGTCAGTATGTGTATCCAAATACAGATTTAATGCTTTGGAACAAAAGTGTATACTCAAAGACAGTTGGAAAACAGTATATATGACAAGTATGAGTAATTGTTGAAAATCTCTATATGTATATATGTATTTGAGCTTACGAAAGTATTTTCACTTTCCCCGGAAACGGCGCCAAAAATTTGTTAACACTTGTCAGGGTATACAAATTTAAATCCCTTCAGCCCACTAATTTCAAATAAAAGGTAGTAAAGTAGCAGGTAAAGGGGTCGAATCCTCAAGGAAAGATAATGGAAAAATACTTTTCTTAATTCTCAGTTCAAAACCTTTACAACAACAACAACAACAACTCAGGTGAATCCCACAATAGTAGGAGTAGGGTCTGGGGAGGGTGTGTGTACGCAGACCTTGCCCCTACTCGGAAGTAGGGAGGCTGTTTCCAAGAGACCCCGGCTCTACCTGCACAAAAATATGGAAGGGAACACAGTATAACACAGATAAAGCACCAAGTACAAGCAACAATTACAAGCAACAACAGAAGATTCCAAACAAGTACAACACACTACAAAACAACCTCTACAATACCGAGCTCCTATCCAGCTACTCTAATCCTAGTTTTCCAAAAGTTCCTATTGATATATATCCGGGAGCATGCCCGAAGACTCTCCGTAGCCCGCCAAGGGAAAGACAGATCAGGGGAATAAAGCCCAAGTGTGGTGACATTAATTGGGTTGAAACTTCTCCATTTTCCTGTCTTAGAACCCAACCCAACACCATGGTTGTCCTACACCCACCCGGTGAGCCCACACTCTCCATACCTTCCCTAAACATCCAAAATATTTCCTTTTCAAAATAAAGTTTTCCTACTCCTATTTTAGGCCCTGGCCGAAAATAAGAGTGTGTAAACCACAACCTTTGTTTGTTGTTATTTTCTTTCTTTTAAACCTTTTAATAAACAAATAAAACCTTCTATCCTTTTCTATAAATCTCTGGCCAAATATCCCTCATTATCCCAACACAACATCAACCAAGATATTCCCCATTCTTGTCCCCTTTATGTTCCCTACTAGGGCTGAATAAACAACCACAAAAAGCCAAGGGACATTTGAGTTGTTGTTGATACACCACCTACTAAATCAGTCACCTCATATGACCAAGAATATAAGGCCAATACACCATCCATCACCCATCTTTGTTTGTCCCCTCTTTTTAGCCAGAATATCCACCACAATCATCAAAGGATTTCATTCATTCTTTGTGATTTTTGCCTCCACAACAGGACAGACAAAGCCAGCTCCAAAGCCAAGACAAAGTCAAACAAAATCAGCCCTTATCAACTCAAGATTGGAAGCTAGTGAATGATAAAGGGATGTAGGAAGGTTCCTTGTATTTGCATTCATTATATTGTGTGTTTTCCCTCCTCTCCCCTCCTTATATATTTCGGCCATTTGGCCCTTGTAATGATCATCTCTGAATTATTAAAAA